CACAAACTAGAAGTACTGTGAGCACTGAGCTCACAAAATGATACCCCCGCCTCCCATATGATTACAATGGCAAAGTCCGACATGAGGATGCTTCTATAATAATATGACTAATCATGGCATTGCTGTTCTTGAGCAGAAGATTTTTTCAAGATGATTCATATATATATTTTATGTAAAACTTTGGCCTTCTGTTGTACCCCTAACCCCTTGGGGGTCAAAATTTGAACAAACTTGATTTGCAATACCTAAGGTTGCTTCTGTATAAATATGACTAAAATAATTGCTTAGTTATTTTTGAGAAGATTTTCAAATATATTTCCTATGTAACGTGTATGATCAGGTTAATTCTTACAAGGGATATACAGGTTTTCCTTTTACTCTTTCTGAGTTAATGACTGGAATGATTATTAAGACTGCTATGTCTGAGGGAAAATCACACAGTACAAAAATTTTATTCTTATCTAGAGACGGGGACTGGGTAATGTACTGCTAGCACCATGTTTCTGCCCTAAGTTCCTATTGATAGAAAAGAACCGGGTGTCTCAATCTTCTTCAGATTTACTACAACCAGAACATCATTTCCCTAGGATATTTGCACTGGTGCTTATAACTTTTATTCTTTTATTTTGCTCTTACCCTTCTTTATTGCTGATTAACTGCCAAATTCTCCTCCTAGCTTCTGAATACCTGACTTTCCCAAAGCTTTGCCTTATACACTGTATACCTTTTGGCTAGTCCATTCCAATGATTGTCTGGTCATTCCACTATTTGAAGTCTTCAATGCGTTTTACACAAATGCCCCTTAACCATTACATCTATATAAATTGTATTCCTATGTAAAACTTTGACCCACTGTTGTGGCCCCGTCCTACCCACGGGGGTCCTGACTTGAACAAATTTGAATCTATACTACTTGAGGTTACTTCTTTTTTAATATGACTAATAATGACTTTGCTGTTCTTGAGAAGAAGGTTTTTAAAAATATTTTCTATATATCCCTACGGTAAACTGTTGTGGCCCTACCCTACCCCCAGTGGTCATGATTTGAACAAACTTGGGTCTACATTACCTGAGAGGTACTACACTGAGAATACTTCAATATTAATAAGACTAATCATATGCATGGCTTTGCTGTTCTCGAGAAGATTTTTAAAGACATTTCCTATACATTCCTATGTAAAACTGGTTCTTGAGAAGAAGATTTTTAAAAGATGCCAAGAAATTTTAATGAATTTCATAAATATATACCCTTGAAAGAGGGTGTGGCACTTCCTCTCAACAAACTTAAATTCCCTTCACCCAAAGATGCTTTCTGGCAAGTTTGGTTGAAATTGGCCCAGTGGTTCATGAAAAGAAGTCGAATATGTGAAAAATTTACAAACGACAGACGAGGGTGACAGATAGACACCGGGCAATCTTTTGATCAGAAAAGCTCACTTGAGCCTTCGGCTCAGGTTTCCTAAAAACTTCTCAGGATATGCAGTGCCAATGTGATTGTGGCTAGCTTTGTTGCCCATTTACCCCTTGGCTGAATTGGATTTCAATCCACTTGAAATGTTCGTAAAGTGGTTAGAGGAATAAATTCGGAATGTAACTCTCAACTCATTTTATTCACACTTTAAAGAAAATGAATATGTTGAAGTAGAGTGAATAACCATGGCCATTTAATATGATTTTTTCCTTGATTTCCATTGCAAAATATAGTTTTTATCTAAAAATTTTTTATCCTAATTTTCAAAATAATTTGAATCTACAGACTAATATACGACAACTCATTTGAGGAATTCTAATATTTTGATAAATATAAATTACTATTTCAAAATTAAGTTATATCTAGCTTGATTGAAAATTTTTATAATTTAGAATTTCAAAGAGAAATGGTCGAGGAATCACTACTTAAGTTACGCTCAATGCAATGTGCTTGCTTGACATATGGTATGCGATAGCACAAATTCATACAATTCCTCTTTGCTAGTTTAATGCCTGCGAGTGAGTGTGTTATTTTTTGGGGATAGGGGAGATTTTTTACTTTTTTTACAGAAGGGATGATAAGAATTCGTTTTCAGATAAAATGTTCCTGGCATCTCCTTACTGGCGTGATATCCTATTCTGTTGCAGCCATTGCGACACGACTTACACCTTCCACTAGAAAATGCCTTATAGTCCTTACACGGAAACGCTTTGAATTTGCAGGAGGAATTAATAGACTCTGTAAAGTATTGGACTGACCTCTTATGACTGCAACCTACTTTTAACGAGCGACACCCTGGCTGTTGTTTACCTCCGTTTGGATAGAAATCAACGTGTCCGTTGGGTGTCCCGATTCCAAACCCTGAAAAGGCCATAAACAACTGGAATACAATTCACGCGAGAAAATTTTTTCAAAATAAATTGCTATCAAAGAGATAACATACCCAATCGGAGAAGAGAATCTGCGTTCGTGTGAATTACATCCACAAAGTTAGCATCAGAAGGATCCAGTTTCACTTTGATGTCAAAGCTTTCAAAATACAAGCCAGCTGGATCTAGACCTAATATTCCAAAGAGAATTCAATACATAAGATAATTGACAGGTAATTTACAGACATTTTAATTTAATTTAGTAGCAATTCAACTATGACTATATTTTAAATTAAGGAATAAATTGTAGCAAAAGTTTTAAAAGTTAACTATGCAAACATTATCATGTCATTATTTTCCGGAAAGTTTCCTTTATTGGAAGTGAAGTACCGCTGATTCTGCCAATATTCCCAATTTTGATTTTGTGACGTATCCAGTCCGGCGTATCCCATGATATGGGCCCCTAGACTGTGACCAACCAAGTGGATCCTGTCGAGTTTTACTTTGGCTGTGTCCCACAAAGCCCTTACCATGTTCCCTATGGTGGCCCCTACCACGCGAGTATTGGCAGCAGATTTCCGATAGATTAGACCTTTGGTACCACAAGACCAGTCAACAGTTATTATATTGAGATCATCCTACAAGTTTGTCAACACAGTCTATCATAGATTAGGGGACATTCCGAGAAAATATGAATTACATAAAATTATTTGAGTTAATTATAACCAATTAGCAGTAAAACACAAGGAAGATAAACATATTAAAAGGCAACGGTACTAGTAGAACAGTATGTACCAATTGCTAGAGATAAACATACTTGGATGGTAAAAATTTAAGTAAGAGACGTTATGGTCAATTCATAAAATATATACATACAGATCGATGTACATGTGTTATATTTATAATTAAACTCGGTTCAAAATGGACAGCAATGAATAACTGATTAACCCACCTCTTTGAGAAATTTGTCTTTCATTTTGAGTACCCATCCAAATTTGGCGGTGCTTCTGAACCCGTGGGTAATGAAAATGGTTAGTCGTCTAGCAGCAAGATCGGACTTTAAAATTATACTTGAATCATAAGGGTTCAGAATCTTGGCAGTTTTCTTGCTTTGTCTGGTGTAAAGTCTAAAGGTCATCCGAATCCTCTCCGGCGAATCGGGTAGTATCCCTCTTGCATTATTGAAAGGCTTGGCATTGCTGAAACATCCGACGTTTGAATAACAAACTTGTCGAATTTTTGATTTTGAAAACCAAAAACCTGGGGAATTGATCAGAGATTATCAATCTTTGAAATGGAAATAAAGCGGAAAGACAATATATGCAGATATTAGCAGCATTTTTCAGTACTTTTATTCATATACATTTCCCCAAAGGGCTGAGTTTTGTTATTTCAAAACTTTAAGCATCAGAATTTTAAATAGCCAATATATTAAAAAAAATTCCAAGAATACTTAAAAATGAAAACAATTTCTATAGCATTGATCATGAAAAAATTCCTGATTATTGCAGTAAGTATATATATTTCATGGTTGTTACCTTTATTTAATGAGATCAGGAGCAGAAACATTGAGGCTTTTAACATAATGGACATGGTCTCATCAGTGATCAACCATCTATAACTTGAAAAAAAAATACTCGGGCTAGAGTGCGTTACCATGTCATATATACGCATACTATAGTAGTTTGCAAACAACATTCGCTTTCTAAAGATAGATAATTAATATATCAATAAACCAATTATATACCTTCCTTCTTCCTTTCTCGTGTCCATCTCCCATTACGATATTGTGTATCGACCTTTTTTGATATAATGCAAAACAGTTTTTGCATTCTGATATACATTTTATGTTTATATACATGTATGTTCCAATAGATTCTTTGGGAATTTTATAGCGATTTTTTTCCTTTAATGATTTATGTGTCAGAATGCTTACCTTGTTTTAAAAGTTCAATCTACATATTCAGTTTTGATTTTGTTAATATTTTTTTCCTTCAACAGAAAACAAAAACAAAAAAATCCTTGTCTATCTCCTATTACTATAAAATATAAATTCTTTTTTATGTTTTAAGTGAAAGGTTTAGATCAGAAATATTTATAAAATTGTGGGAAATAAACACGTGAACTGAATTCCAAAATCAGTTTCACAGATTAAAGTGATCGTTCAGAGCTCATTACAGGAGAAATGTAAAATTAAAAAGAATATAAAAGTTGAGGATGTTGTTATAAGTATGTTTGGTGATTAATGTGTAAGGAGACAAAGTGACCTACCTGATAATGTTGATGAGGTGGTATTAATTACATTTTTCTATAGTATCAACAGCCAGTGAAAACCAAAGCACGCGGACAATATGATAACATGCCGTTGCATCCGGTATAGTAAGTATAATGAGAAAAACAATTATGTAACAATTAATTAATTAAATTCGTCGATGAAAATTACAAACATTTTATTTCTGTCATTAGTAGTTATAGTGAAGAACAAAATATTGTTCACTTGTTCATCTTTTATTTTTCATATATTAAAGGAGAGGAATTCTACAGTTTAAAACAATAAAATTATTTATAGACAAAGATTACCTAAAATACATTACGAAATGAAATAAAGAAGATAAATAGACTAGTTCAAATCACAAAAAAAACACATAAAAAAATATAAATTTCCCATTGGTGGCGTTCCAGTGTCAATTACTTTTTTTGATTTAAAAATTCAAAGCAAGAACAATTTACATTTGAATCTTTTTATCATAAGGATATCTGAAGGAAAGAAATATTAGACTACATCGCCATATTCACTGGATTACGAAAATTACATACCGAGTATTTCATAATGCACGCATATCCATAAAATTAAATATTTCCTGTTTTTATTAAGATTCCCACATCCCTACATGTAGTTCATAAAAAAGTAATCCAATACTGAAAGATACAATAATTATACAGCGCAATTTTACAAATTTATCAGCACCAAAAATTCTTCTCTCGTTATTTTTACGAATGGAAATACAGTATAAGGTTTGCATTTGAGCAAGAAGTAGCCTTAAAGGGGTTTTCACTGCTTTTTCTACACTGGATACGATTTCTCTTTTTTCGGACACTCTCACTATCCAGACATAGAAAAGTATATTCTTTCAATCAGTCACCATCTAGATCTTTTTGACAGTCAGATCACTTAAATTCTTAAATCATGTCCAGAGTTCTACAAATCCTCCTTCTAAGCAGACCTACGTCTGTGTTCTCTCCCACAACAAGGGTTTGAAGAGATTTCCTGCGGTAAAAACGTAGGTAAACTTGTCATTCCTCACAAAAGGGATATTCAGTTTTTGTTTGCAGATAGAATGTGCCGTGTACATTTTTATCGACATGGTAACCCATTCTATTGCAGCCATTGCGACACGATCTACATCCTCCAAAGTAGTAATCCCAATAGCCTAGGCATGGAAACGCCTTAAATTCACAGAAGGAAGTGATGGACTCTATGAAGTAATCAATCACTCTCATATGACTACACACTACCTTCCACAAAGCGTTGCACCCCGGTTGTCTTTTACCTCCGTTGGGATAAAAATCGACGTGTCCATTAGGACTGCTGATTCCAAGTCCTGGAAGAAAAAGGGTATATATTTATTGATACAAAGAAAAGAAAGGTTTTGATGAATTCTTTCAAAATAATTTGTTTACCAAAATTCATAATAGAGGCCGCATCCGTGTGAATGACATCGACAAAGCTGGCATCAGAGACATCCAATTTCACTTTGATGTCAAAACCTTCAAAATGTAATCCAGCTGGGTCTAAACCTAAAATCCAAAGCAATGCCACTAAGGGAAAGTTAAAATCAACTGTACAAAATACAATAAAAAGAACGATAAAAGTATGTTTGACCATAAACTTTAATAATCGTTAGTAAGCAATAGCTACCTGTTATTCTGCCTATACTACCAATGTTAATGCTTGAACGCGTCCAGTCACCGGCGTACCCCATGATATGGGCCCCAAGACTCTGACCAATCAAATGAACACGACTAAGCTGTATATTAGTTGTGTCCCACAAAGCCTTTAGCATGTTACCAATGGTAGCTCCAACAACGCGCGTGTTTGCACTGGATTTCATGTAATTGAAGCCCTTAGTTCCTGGGGACCAGTCGACAGGTATCACGTTTACATCATCCTAAAAGTGCCAGTCAACAATATTTGAAATTAATTTTTAAATTCAGAAGAAACGTGGTTCCGATCAATTTTAAACATGATTCCATTCATAGGAAATTATGGATCAGTGCCGAGTTTTACTAAAGGTCGCAAAATTTATTACCTTAAGCAAAACTCGGCACAGGTAACTGGATGAGAAAGCAGAAGTGCATCTGATGTAATAAGAACAAGTTTAAAAAAGGGATTAGTAACTTGTATGATTTCTATTTCCTAAACAATAAAAAAACATTTATAATTATAACAAAAATTGTTCAGTAAAACTTCATTTGTCTAAAATTATAATTATAACGGGATATTAACCCACCACTTCCAGAAGCGCATCTTTCATTTTCAGCGCCCATCCAGTTTTGGTAGTGTCAGTAAACCCGTGGGTGATAAATATTGTTAATCGACTTGCATCAAAATTTGATCGGGAGATGGTATTTGAATTGTAGGGGCTCAGAATCTGAGGGGTTTCCCGGTTTTCTCTCGTGTACAACATAAAGGTTGTTTGAATCTTGTTAGGTGAGTCGGGCAGGATACCCATCACATTATTAAATGGAGCTGCATTACTGAAACACCCGATCTGAGCATAACAAACTTTTCTGCTTTTGAAAAACCAAAAACCTAGAAAAGGAAAAAAAAAAGTTTTTAAATGTTGCCACACGAACTACACGGATAAAATGTAAAAAAAAAAAAAAATTGAAATATCTGACAGGAAGTGCACTTGTTACTTCCTGTTGAAAACAATATTAATATTAACATATTAAATTTAAAAAAAAGTATTTTAGGTTTTGAAGTCATTTTTATAGTTACATATAATTAAAATGTATCAGTTTTAGATATTAAAAACAACAATGTAACTGGAATTACCTTGGGATGTTGAAACCAGGAGCAGAAAAGGTAAGATTTTTAACAACATAGGTGACTTTTGAACAGCTTCATATAGCTTCAGCTAAAATGATTTAAAGTAAGGAAAGAAATGTGGATTAAATTATGTCCAGTGATAAAATACAGGATATCCTTTATATACATGTACATTGGACTTGTTTTTGAAAATTAAAGTACAAAGAGGGTGTTGCAGTTCTTTTGTTATTTTCCCTAAAGTTGTAGCAGTTTAAAAGAAAATTTTTAAGTAACAGAAAACGATCTTAAATTTTTTCAGATACAACGGCATATACAGCACAATGTAGAGCGGTATTTAGAAACTGCATATCGACTACCAATTTGCCATTAAATGAAGTGTAAATTAGTCACATAGCAAAATAAGTCAAGTTTTCTGTTTTTCAAATAGGGAATCCCCATTGTTCTCGAAAATTGCCTCCTTGAAACAAAATAAATTTGATATACATATCACAAAGAGACAGGATTTTTCTTCAAAACTGCCATTTCCGATTTTTGTTTCAAAGAGGCATGTTTTTGAAAATCACAAAAATCGAATAAAAATTATTATCCATCCAAAATGCAAAATGTTCACATAAAATAGCACATGATTCTTCAGTGTCGGAGCTGGTCTAGTGGTAAAGCGTGTGGACTCTATGCGAAGATTCTTTTTACCTGAGAATGGGTTCGAATCCTGGAATGGCTTACATTTTTTCCTTATATAATGGAAGTACAATGTAACATCTCGGGAGAGAGAAAGAGAGAGGGAGAGAATGTCAAAGTTAATGGGTAATATTTTAAATGTATACAGAATTAAATTGGTTTCCTTGATATTGTGATCTAAAACTAATTAGTCATACATTTAATGTTATTATATAGTGGCGTTGTCTTAAGGACATACGCAACGTACCTTACCTACTGATAATTTTTCAAGATATTCTTAATTTAAGATTATAGTGCCATCAGATGTTCGTAGACAAAAAATCAGCATGCATTACCAGGGGTTTTGAAAAGATATTAAATGATGAAAATTCATGTATAATTCAAAGAAAAATTTACAAAAATTACTAAACATATATGCTAGATGTTTTGTTTATCCAAACTTGTTCTAGAAGGAGTGAGCAACAGCATTTATAGACAATAAAATGTAGCACACAGTTCCTTTAAGTATTGGAACTCTTCAACTCCAGGGAAAAAGACAATAAAGTTCAAACTACATTGCGTATGTCCTTAAGGAAACTCTCAACACTGACAAAAAATGTTTTTTGGACTTTAAGAAAATTTTATCACATACAGGCGTTCATATTGAATTTTCTAGTTCATTTTCAATATAGGGTACCTGCCATATTTCTCCACAAAAATTAATTCAAGACAATGAAGTATTAATGAACAGGAATTACTGTTGTTTACTTACATTGGGAATGTACATGCAAACAATGTTTTAACTACTTTATTCTGGTCTAATATAATGTTAAGAATACTTTAATCTATTCTAAATTGTGTCATCAACTGTAGAGTTTCATTTATTCCATTTTACATCAAAGGGCAGATCACTCTAACTGCATAAAACTACCATGGAATTTGAACTCTTTACTGAGCAGTGTTTAGAGCTTCCTTAAAAATAAAATACTATCATTTTAGATAATTTATTTTTTTCATACTCATTTCATTATTGTTCTGTTAATTAGTGGCTCAGATTTGACTTGAAACAACTAAATTGAAATGACTCGATGAAATTTCTTGGATATTGCATCAACAGCGTAATTATAGGACACATTTTTATATATTGAAAAATATTAACGCACGCTGTTTATACAGTACATCTTTCAAAATGATGTGCGAAGTGCACTTGCCATTAGTTTTGCTTTTATCGTTCTAACTTTTCTTGTGCAATATGGCGACAGTGACCATAGATGTGAAAAGTTTACTAACAGGTCGTCAGCCTATGTTAGGAAAAACTATGCATGAAACAAACGTAAAATGTGAAATGTTTTGTTATAACAAGCTGGACTGGACATACCCGCTGTATAAATAAAGTCATCTACGTAGCGTTATAGATCTATATTTAGAGATAGGCTAACTCTCCACGCGTAGTGGGTATTTAAGGACATACGCAATGTAGTTTGAACTTTATTGTCTTTTTCCCTGGAGTTGAAGAGTTCCAATACTTAAAGGAACTGTGTGCTACATTTTATTGTCTATAAATGCTGTTGCTCACTCCTTCTAGAACAAGTTTGGATAAACAAAACATCTAGCATATATGTTTAGTAATTTTTGTAAATTTTTCTTTGAATTATACATGAATTTTCATCTTTAATATCTTTTCAAAACCCCTGGTAATGCATGCTGATTTTTTGTCTACGAACATCTGATGGCACTATAATCTTAAATTAAGAATATCTTGAAAAATTATCAGTAGGTAAGGTACGTTGCGTATGTCCTTAAATGTCCTTCTCGATTTAGGGAATAATCGCGAGTTTCTGCAACACCCTCTTTTGCAAATGATAAACTTTTCAACAACATTACATCTAGGCTACATTGTAATACTTACGTGCTGTGGCATTCAATCAACACTTAGATATATCGACTGCGATTTATCAATTAATAATAATTTTCATTCCTACGTTGATTCATTATATCCCTTTGGACTATAAAGATACCACAGAGTCTGACACATCTGTTTCATGTTTGGATATTTTACTAAGAGACAGACATTAATGGCAACTAACAATAAAACTTTATGATAAACGCTATGACTTTTCTATCGTCAATTTCCCTTATTTATGTATCAATATGCCAATATCACCTGCATATGGAGTTTATGTCTCCTAGTTGATTCGATGCACAAGAGCATGATCTATCTACTAACAATTTCTAAAACGAGGCAAGCCATTGACAAAAACGTTGATGAAACAAGGATATCAACAATCTTATTTAAAGTCAACATTTCGCAAATTCTATGATCGATACAATGACCTTGTTAGCAAATAGAATCATATCGTCAAGTCAGATGTTGACTGACGTTTTTCATACAGATTGTTAGACCATTAATTATTCTCAAACTGAATTGTATACGGATTTTCACATTTGTCCGATCGACACCGGATGCTTACTCCTCCAAGGCACCTGATCCCACCTCTGATGTTTTCAGGGGTCCGTATTTGCTCTGCTTCCATAATGAACTTTAGATCGTTATCTTCATATTTCATTACATAACTGTTATTTTTCTAACTATAAGATTTCTTTGAAAAAAATTCCAAGTTAACATTCTCATGAACTTCAACCGATGAGGAGTAATATTGCAGTCAGGCGACACTACCTTAAGCTCATCTTTAGCATAAAGTAGGAAATATAAATGCCTAGATATGCCTAGATATTTGTCAGTTTCTTTGTATTTGAATAAAATAATTTAAAGTTGGAATTTTATCATAAATAATGCAGCTCAAAGTTTTAAAACTTCATGGGGCATATAACCTCGTACTTTTCAACCAGGCCTTTTTTCATATGTCGGGGCGAAATGAATTAATTGTGCTTCATACATGTAAATTTACAGTTTGGTACAACTTGAGATCATGTTCAAGCTTGAAATGCTTTTCAAATGTCAAAATTCAAATTTGTTTGAAGAGGGTAACAAAAAGACAATGTCCTACCCGATATTAATGAAAAGGACATGCCATAATTAACAATATTTGTCCAAATCCAAATGTAGTTGATAACTAAAATAAACACAATCATGACAATATAACATGTTACTGTGTCCGGGAATAACAATATCCGCAATAAAAGAAACTGATAAACACTCAAGATACTCAGTAATGACAGTCATATTTATACATTTCATGATCGTGAACCAAAATCACACAGAACGTTCATTTTACTTTTATCTATATTTTTTTTTTAATTTCTCAGAGATAAATAAAATAAATGCAGTTACACACCTTGATCTACAGAAACAATATTTTTTCAAGTCTGGGTATTTCTGCTTTTGATACTTTCATTTTGTCATTTCATCCTTGAATAAAATATACAATTTTAAAAATAATTCCCATTCGACAAATGCAATTTTATATTCCTGTCAATTTAAAAAAAGAAAATGAAGAGGCCCATGGGCCACAACCCTCACCTGAGTAAATATAATGGCTCTGCTGTTCTTCATCTTCAGATTTTTTTTAATTCCCATCTTTAATTTCATTAAAATTTGACTCGGTATCGTTGACCAAAATCCAGATCTGATTTAGTGTGGCCTTGCTGCTCTTGAAAAGCTTTCTTCCTATATACTCTCGTGTAAAACTTTGATCCACTATTGTAGGCTCAACCTATTCTCGGGGGCCCTGATCTGAACAAACATGGATCTAAATAGCTTGAGGATGCTTGCAAATCAATATCATTATGAGTAATTACGGCTGTTTTGTTTATTAGAGGAAATTTTTCCTATATACTCCCTTGTAAAAAATTTGAACTCCTCTTGTGGACCCACTCTACCCCAGGAGGTCATGATTTGAACAAACTTTAATCTAGACTACTTTAGAATGATGAGAACTACATTGATATGATTAATTGTGGCTTTGCTGTTCTTGAGAAGAAGAGTTTAAAGATGTTTTCTTTATTATATATTCCTATGTATAACTTTGTTGATTTGAACAAACTTTGAATTTTCACCATGTAAAGAAGCTTTCACATAATTTTCATCTTTTCCGAACTAGTGGTTCTTAAGAAGACATTTTAAAGATGTCAAAAATAAAATTTTATACGGCGACAACATATACAGACAACGGACAAATTTCGATCAGTAGAGGTATAAAATGGCAATGTTGAATTAATTGGCGAAAAATACAACATATCTAATAACACAGAGCCAAAGAATTGAAAAGAATCGAAGAAAGCGAGGAGTATACGCTTTCATCATCACATCTGATTGTTTCAGAGATGGGTTATTTATATTTTATGGTAAAATTTGAGCATACTTTTCTAATGTTCACAATAGTGTTTCTTTCAGGAGAATTTGATCATCGAGTTGACATTTTAGTACACATTAACCTTAATTAATATACACATGTATTGGTTCCGATATAATGTTTGTTTTTATCTCTGGATATCTCATGTGCAATGCATAAATGTACAAATACAACTGAAATGTTAAAAAAATAATAATAATAAAATTGACATGCAGATTAAAAAAATAATCTAAATATTAAACCCAATATATTTTACCTTTTTTTCTCGTCCCTCTGAGGTAGAAACTAAATTACTGAATATCTCATGTGCAACAATGCATAATTGTACAAATACACTAGAAATGTTTTTAAAAAAATTAAATTGACATGCATATTAAAAAAAAATAATCCAAATATTATATCCAATATATTTTACCTTTTTCTTCTTCTGGTCCCTCTGAGGTAGAAACTAAATCGGTAGCACGCTTTAAGCGGTACATTTACCTGTATACCAAGATTTACGTTAAAAAAAAATTAACTGAATTTTCATTAGAAATTCACATACATTATGACACAAGTTTTTTTTTTAAAAGTTCGTTTACTTGACGGTTTTTCTAGCATAGATAGACTTTCTACGTTTAGAGTTTATATGAAACAAAACTCTATATAATGCGTTTACCTACTTTCATGCATTAATTGATACGGCCGATGGGCGTGATTCTTAAAAGGTTACAGATAACATCATGTAATGCAATAAAATAACGGGGTTTGAGTGTGTAGTAGCCTTTTGTCTCAGTTTTTTGCTTTTCGTGTGTGAATAAATGAATATTTCAATGATTCACTACTAGATATGGTCACTCATGCTTTATGATATCCCTGTTATAACATTTGAACAAATGGAACAGGAATGACCGAGAGCAGAGATTGTTCTGTGAATTGCAAGGTACCAAATCCATTGGAATCTACAGAACGTACACCGGAACAACAGCTTCCTGTTTCATTCTTATGAAAAGGGATAGAGGAGAAATTTCTGATGAGATTGGGTAGACTCTCACGAAAGGAGTGGTCACCATCCAGGACTAATACACATATGAGGAGATGGGATCGTTCCGCTTTTCAATCCCTTAAGGTTCATCGATACTCGGATAAGAGAGATAACTCTAAGTAGTATAAGTAGTATAAATGATTATTCCTTTATGATATTGTCAAGTTCACAGACCATTTCTGTCAAATTTTGGCCCGCAAGGTAACCCGAAGGCTATGAATTAGATTTCTTTTTGGATAATCAAAAGTGTTAAGGAAAGGTTTTATATGAGTGAGCAGAGGGAAGATGAACATTAAGAGGTAAATCGGACACTGTTAAATATTCGGAGCAGTTGTCCATTGTCCGTCAACTGTCAAGAAAGCGTCATTATACAGTTAAAATACATCATACTGAGGGAGTCAGCAAGATTCCAGTTCCCCTATTTCCCTCCCTATATGTAACTTTTACAGCTGCTAAATATGAATATTTATGAATTTATTTAATTTGGAACATATCTAGGTGGTCTGCATAAGTGTGTATTCAGTTCATTAAACTGATGCTTCTTTTTACTGGGAATCAGTCTTTTTACGGTGATTTTCAGGGAATCAGCAAAATATATCGATTTACTCTTACATAGTGAAAAATCAGTAGAGGTATAATAAATGTTGATATGTTACCGGAAAGAGGCCAAACACTGGAAACCATTCCAGACAGAGACTGTCAAGCTACTTAAGTCATAGTTATACGAAAAAATAAGTTTTTTTTAAAAATGTATGTTCCAGACCTTCATTCAATTTTAGAAAATGTTATTTCTATAAATAAAATAACATATTTACGACATTCTGGGTTTAGTTTAACTAGATGGGAGTTTTAGCCTACGAATCTTGGACAAACAGGCTTCTAGAGAACAAGTTGTAAAATAACTGTTTTAAAGAAAATCTTAAGACTCTTAAAATAGATTGGAAAATGATGGAACATGAAGTCAGAATACTAGACATGGATACGAATTACGAATATATTTATGAATAGTTTTGAGAAAGTGTGAATTTGCCTCTACAGGGTAGTGCTTCCTTTCAACTCCATCACTTTAAAATTCATGAGTAAAATAATTTTTGTAGCACTTCAATGTATACGCAATAGAGAAGAAATTCTAGGTCACATTTTCGTGAAAAAGCTTACTAGAGAAACAAATGGCGTCAATCTGAATTCAAGAAGGATGAAAGAGGTCTAATACGAATTTGGTTAGAAGTTTAAAAAATTAAAGTAAAACAAAAAAGAATTATACTCACTTAGGATGAAACTTAATTCAATTCATACATGTAGCACCAACTTACCCAAAATATTTTCAATTTTCTTAGGCGTTGGCACGATAAAGACCCTCACTGCTCAAAGGCCTTAAGTGCCAAGAATAGATTTAAATTTGAATCCCTTCACCGGCATATGGTGACGTCTTTATATGAGTGAAAAAATTCTCGAATGGGGCATAAATCAACATAACGGTACAATCAATCAATCAAACTGAATAAAATATGGAGATAACGAACAGTATTCAAGATCAAAGTCCATTAAAACATGCAATACAAATCGGGAACAGAGCAAACAAACTCCAAAAAACATCAGAGATGGGATCAGGTGCCATTGAGGAGTGAGCATCCCCTACCGATCACACCCGCCGTGTGCTCCTTGTCATGATCGGGAAATAGCGGAAAAATCCGTCGACAATTCAGTGTGTAAATAATGGCCTAACAATTGGTAAGAAAAACGCCAGTCTGCATATGACTTAATGATATATTGTATTTGTTGACAAGGTCAATGCATCAACCATAGAACTTACGAAATGATGACTTTAAACGAGACTGTTGATATTCTTGTTTCATCAACTTGTTTGTCAAAAACTTATCTCGTTTTAGAAGTTAGTACGTAGAGCATGCTCTTGAGTATTGAATCAACCGAGAGATACACACCCCATATGCAGGTGATAAGGGTATTAATATTATAAAAATATTGCTGCATATTAAGTAAGGGAAGTTGACGATTGAAAAGTTAAAGTTATCACGTTTATCATAAATTGTTAGATTACCATTAACGTCTTTTTCTAGTAAAATATCCAAATATGGAACAAATGTGTCAGACTCTGCGGTATCTTTCATTTCAAGCTCACTGGGATATATCATGTCCACATATGAATGGATATAACTATAAAAGTTAATTGATAATACATCGTCGATATATCTAAATGTCGAGTTGAAGGCCACAGCAAGAGATTTCTTTTTCTCATGTATATAAGATTTTGACATTCTGCTTCAGAAATAGGTCTGCTAACAACGGGGCGCAATTGGTACCTATGGAAATCCCAACAGATTGTTGGAAGACCTGGCCTCCAAAAACCACATACATATTGTGAATCAGAAATTCAAGCATCTTTTTAATATAAACTTCAGAGTACTTATGTGTAAATCAGAATGTTTTTAACAAAATAATTTTACAAATGACCAATGACATGGTAAGTAAATTTACGACTTCCATTTTTATTGAAAAAAAGCAGCTGTCAATGATGTCAAAAAGCCTGGACTTTAATTTATCGTGGGGAATGGTTGTATACAGAGTTGAAAAGTCGTAAGTTTTTATGTTATTGATTTTGGTAAAATTTTGTGATTTCAAATTTTCCAAAAGTTCCTTCAAATTTTTAAGTATCCACATCTGATTTACACCACTTCTCGAATATATTGTTGCACAGTACTCCTGAAGTTTCTCCTTCACTGCTGTTAATATTTTAGTGGGGAGTAAAGAAAGAGGCTTGGTAGAACATTTACTGCAACCCGCTATATATCTTTGGAAGGATTTTTAAGAAATTTTCGGAATCCAATATAAATATGGTAATTCAGATTCATTTTGGTTGTTGGGAATATTAAAAATATTCAGAACTGACATGATTTTGAAGAATTTCCTCCTTAGAAAGGGAGCTATGGGTATAAGTTGGATTGCCAATTGTAAAATGAAATCCCAGTTCTTCTAAAATACAATATAATGAGCCTTACAAACAAAGACAATGT